TAAAATAGCTATGTGTATCAATCAATGCGTAAATCATCCAACATTACTTCCACAATATATACAACGTGGCAGATTTTCTGCAGTAGAGAAGTAAAGTGCTTCCTGCAGTGGGATCGTCGTAATGCGAGAAGCGTCTTCCGGAAGCTGTCAGTTCAGCGCATAAGTACTAGATCTGCTCATAACAAGTTTAATCACAATGAGGTATCAACGTCCTCCTATTAGGCACTTATCTTTCTTCAATAGAGGACAGCTAAGTAAAAAATTGAGTCGTATCGGGAATTACCCCGGTGAACAAATGAACACCTGATCATGATTTGATCACTACATGGTCCTAGTGATCACCGAGTCGATTTGAGAGCTCTACGTAGCATTCTTGTTCAATAATTTTCGTTTTCCCCGAATAAAAGCCAACTACCAGGATCATCGTAGTCCCGATCCATCTGAGAGCCTCTAAAAATTTCCTGTCACCAAACGATTCGAAGATTTAAGCCACGATAACAAACTGAACAGCAGATCAGTCTCCGATAGGTTCATTTACCCAGCGGAGCACCATTACACCAAAGTTTAGAAACGCGTTCAAAAAAGTCAATCAACTCTACATCGTCAGTATTGGGGCAGTTGGGCGGCCGACCAGAACCATTTTATGCATGAAGCGTGAACGTCAAATACCTCAAAGTAAAGAATGTTCGAATTAGGGAGATGTGATAAAATTCATTTTAGTGACGTCCTTATCTAAACAACAAGCACATCACCTACAAAAATTGCGAACCGAACGGAAAATTTTATAGCGGTAACGAGAAAGAATTTCAGAGTGTGAGGTATCCGATAGGAAATCAGGTTTCTGTAGAATAAAACTGCAACAACCCGAAGCAGGCGAGTACGGTGAAGTTGCGGCAATTGAGCAAGTGACATACGGCGGTTAAGTTCGCAAGACGCGCTGAAGTTTAAAGAGATCTGCGATACTCCCAACTCGCCTCAGTAAACCACCCATACGCGCTCGCTGTTGTTCTTATAGCTCTCAGCCCTCTTCCCTTT